AGAGAGAGAGAGAGAGAGAGGAATTAATTTTTTTTAATCCTATAAAAAGTTATTAAATTAGTTTGCTTTGTATAGTTACCATTTCGTGCTTTTTTTTTTCGGCCATTCCATCTTAATTTTAACTTTTGTTTTTTTTCCAATCACTTTCAGTTCTTCATTTGCATTTTTACAATTTTTCGTTCTTCTTTTTTTCTTGCATTTCTTAATTTTACTTGGATTCTTTTTTCTTTTCATAAATTTCATAGCGTTTTATTGTGCACTAACATTTTGTTGAATAATCTTTTTGTTTGATTTGGTATAATATCCTTGATATGATATCCTTAACTTAGTACAGTATCTTTGATTGGTATAGTATCGTTGACGTGATACAATATCCCTGATGTGGTCCAGTATCGTTAATGCAATATAAAATCCTTGATGCGACACAGTGTCCTCGAAGTGATACAATTTTATGAGAATATTTGAGATCAAAAAGGAATCATACGATAATATGTTTAAAAATAAAAGTGGTACGATCTAACCAAATTCAGATGAAAATTTCAGATCAATTACAGTTAGTAAAAATCATCCATATCGCGTATGTAAAGTTTTTTTTAATTTTGAGATTTTTTTTAAATGGAAATAGATGCCAATTGACAATGCATATTTTTTGATAAATAATTCCTACTCTTAAATTAATTATAAATTAAAATGATATAAATACTGTAAGTTATTTGTAGAAGATGACAGATAACGGAACAGTTGTCGGTTGGTGCTCAATTCGAAATATTCAACAAACAACAATTGCAATCATTCCATATCTCCTACCAACATTATTATTTCCGATCATTTCAGTAACTGTATGTGGAAAAAAATCTCGAAAGTAAGCTTTTATTTACTGTCAACTTATCAAGATGTCTACTGCTTAGTAATTTTGAATACTGTCAACCTATTACTTAATCAAATGATATTGTTTAAGGGAAGTATGATTGATTGATTAATCGTATGATTATAATCAATGTTAAAGTTATATGAAATTCAAATGAATGAATTTTACAGTGATGAATATCCAGAAAGTGAAGAATATTCATATACATCAAAATCTGAGGAAAATCAAAGGAATAGAAGTATACAGGAGATAAGGTTAAAGTTTAACAATTGATATATGTCACCATCGCATATAACATATGATGGGGTCAAATCACAGCAATAACACATCCGACCATTTGTCCCATCAAAGTATGCCATTATTAGAAATAATCGATATTCTACAACTACTTACTTCATCTCATTTTTAACTGTCGCATGTTTAATTCAAATTTTAGACTGAACAGTGCACTTTCTAGAATCTGATCAATTACTGTATTTCAATCAGATACCTCCACCGTTCTGTCGTAGATTTAATTTAAGTTTCAAAAAATAAATATATTTCCTAGAATGTCTGCTAATTATTCTGAGAAAGATCCATTTATTAATTTTACTTCAACTAACTTTTTCTTCTCTGTTTTCTACAAAAAGTAAGAAAAGAATTTTGAAAAATGTCTCGGTAATGTTTTATTCCTATTTAATTATCTAGACCTGTGCCTATCTGAGAATCAGAGATACTCATCTACTTGTAACTATCTGAGAAAGGAAGCGGTAATCCATGGTAAATCGGTAAATCGGTAAATCCATGAGATCCATTTATTAATTTCACTTCACACCTTATCTCTTATCCAAATTAGCTAATATTTACTTAGAAAAAAAAGAAAAACTAAGTTTGGGATCGGACTATAGTAAGAAATGATTGGAAAGGAGGAAATTCGATCAATCTTTTTTGACTTTTTTCCAAGTCAAATGTTCAATGATTTAATTTGTAATTGCAATATGAAAAGATTGATGAAATATTCAAGAAATCGTGAAAAAACAATTTTGTCTCAAACTACAAAAGTAATCATAAAAGAAGCATACAGGAAAAGTGGAGCGAAAAAGAGTAATTCATATTTTAATTAAACCACTAAAATGAAATACAAATAGTGATAGCTTAAGTAAACAATTCACTTACACCTATATATCAACAGTATTGCTACCGGATCGTGGAAGTGATAACTTATCTTGTAATAATTTCTGTAATTGATTTCGGATAAACCATAGAATAAATCATGCAAATGATTTATTATTTCTGCAGTGTTATTAATTTAGATGAACTAGGGAGATTATCACAAGTTAGTAACCAATTATTATTAAATTGCCAATATCAGATTCTATTTTATACTTGCGTTTTTAAGATCATTTGAATATGAGAACCAGCGATTTTATCAAATCTGTAACGAATAATTTTAGCACGAAAAACCAACCGGTACCAACACCTGCTCCAACAGAAAAAGATGCCCAGATTCCCGAATCAGTTGTCACTGAAGAAATCTTTGTACCTATTGGGAAATCATCAAGGTAATATGTAGAGAAGTTATCGCATTTTTTGCTTTTTGAAAATCATTTTCGTTATAAATTTGTCATTTTTGAATGTTTATGAATTAAAGAAGGAAAAAAAGTGCTTTGCATATCTCATGAAATTCGCTGAAAATATCGGCAAGATATTAATTTCCAATCATAAAAGTTAAGTTCTTAGCACAAAGCGTTAACTTTCAGAGATCCCCTACCTTCAAAAGGTGTAATGACTGCAAATAGAAATAAAATAACAGCACAAACTGGAACTGGAACACCGCATACGAGAGTACCAACAGGTATACGATTTACGGAGGAGCGGCATCGATCACGTACTATCAGTATTTTCAATGAAGAAAAACCAGAGAAATGAATGTGCATTGTAATTCCATATCATGTATTATATGAAGTATCTTATTTCGAAGAAATTTAGAATGAACATATGAATAAGTAAATAATTAACGATTAACGAATTGTCTCTCAGTCTCTTTCAGCGATAGCGTTCAAATGATGATCAACCTCCGTATTCGATAATTTCCTGAAAATATCTTAGTGAACGTGATTCTGTGAAACTTCAATGTTATCTCAGCTAGTGATCCATCCTAGACCATTTTTTGATCTCTATGTCAACATATCCCATGTTTTATTCTGCCAATATTTTAGTACCTGAATTTTCGATTGTCCTTTGTAACAACTGCAACTTCAACTTCTGATGCTTTCAAATCAACGCCTAAGGATGATTGCAAACATTCAAGAGCCAACTGGAAATAGCAGATTTACCAATGTCATTTGCAAATAAATTTGAACAAATGATTATAGTCATTATTTCTGAATAAAAATAATATTAAGGATAAAGCTGGAATGAATGAACACAATAAAACGACAGATGAACAAGTGCATGAACAAATGCAAAATGGATTGAGAAATTAAGGGTTGGGATCCAGGTCTTCTGGCCCACACTTACAACAGTATTTTAGCTCGAAAATAGCACTAGGAAGAGATTGTTCTGTTTGATTGTCAGTGAAATAACTATAAAATAACCAACAGAGATGGAAATTAAGTTATTACAATGATACAGACGAAGTTCTTATTTACGATTTGGTATCGCAGTGAAACATACCTGCACTGTACCTTCGTAATCATAGTCAGTTTTTTTCTTGAGTTTTTTTTCCAGGAAACTATTTGCAGGTTGTTGTTTTACACCAACGCCAACGCCGCGCATTCCTCGATAATAACCAGCTGGATCTACGCGAAATATCTGAGGTCCCTCTTCATCATCATATGAGATTAGCAGCATAACTACAACCATTAAGCCATTAATTCTGTAGAAATCAATAACAATCGTTCCCACACTGTCATTTATTTGATGAAGCTATTGCACATTATATATTTCCAGCCAGCGCTCGCCTAGGCATCAATATATATTCCAGAAATATATAAGTAAAAATAGAAATCAGAAGCGAAGGTACAATTTCAATAGAAAAGAAGCGGTACAGTGATGTGTTATACATGGAAGTAAGATAAAATTTTCCCATTTCTTATACTATAAAAATGAATGCAACATGCTTCAAGAAACTAATTTATTTTATCTTTTTACACTAAGCATATACTTACCACAGCCCAGTGAACGTAACTCAGCATTCTGAGTGTAATATTGATTGAGATCAGCCATTCTTCTGCTAAGCTGTTCCACTGACATATTGTAACCATTTTTATATTTCCATTCAGCCGCTTCTATCTGAGCCCGCTTTACTTGGAATTTACTGTCCGCTTAAAGTAAGTGATTAAAATGAAGATAAAACGTGTAGTTATTAAAATGAAGAAGAATGCATAACTGCATTCTTAATACGATCAAAATATTTATAAAACTTCAAAACTTTGCTTAGAATACTACTCCCAAATAATGCACTTTCCAACAACAATTATGTCTGCTGAATCATTTACGAGCAATTTAATGAAGTTTCCAGGTATGTCTCTTAATCTAGGATCACTGAACATGATTCAAAACACACGTATCATGCCGACCATTGCACAACCAATCGTTGGTGTTAATTGATATAAACTTGTCACAGACTCCGCCACAATCAATTTATCCTGAAATTGGTGGATATAGCACAGCTTTATATTTTCCATGTACTAAGTGATGAAAAATACAATGAAAATGCAAGATGAAAAAGTAAAAAAGCTCATATTTCAACACTCAACTAAAAGTGCCGAAAAATGAACTCAGATGTTTTTTTTCTCACCCGATATCATACCATTGCTCAGATAGGAACATCATTATTGAATTTAATAGTAAAGCATTTCCTTTTGGAATCTTTTGTAGAAGGGATCAAATATTTTACTAATTATGAAATGTTGGATGCATAAAAACTTACAGGTACACGTTTCTGCACAGCCACAACAGCACAGCTAACACCTTTTACACCAACAGCAGTTAAATTCGTTGAATTTATCGCCTTGAAAGCATACTCTAAAATGGAAGGTAAAGAGATGAGTTTGCAGTGGGGCAAATATTTTGGAATAATAGAGCTCGTTAAGACTTTCCACAGAAATTAATTTATTAAAGACACCCAAGTTACAGAAATACCTCACCAACTTGATATACTCTTCCCTCAGGAGAGAAGATTGTAATATGACGATCAAAACCTGCACTACTTCCACGTGACATGTTCACCTCTGAAACATTGATATATGCTTATATCTTAGTGGACATGTCAATTTTTACGCAAATACCGCTGGACACCTTCTGGTCTACTAGAAATGTATGTAGAAGTTCGCACATTTGTGATCAAATCGTCTAAGAATTCACAGCTACAGTTCAAGCACAGTTCAGAGATGTAAAGTAATCCTAATCTCGTTTGCATTCTTTTACATCAAAAATATATCAAATCCACTTAAATACGAAAGTTCATAATATACAGAAGTGTTTCCAAAATTGCATCCTATCAAATAGATGTCGTTTGAGAATTGTTAAACAAGTCCTAACAAAAAACTAGAACAAACATCATTAAATAAGGGAATATGAAGTGAACAGAATCCAATGATCAATTCGTCGGAGTTTTTATAAAATTCATTAAATGTTGAATGTAATTTAGTTTTAAGCTGGTATAAATAGTAAATGCAATTTGTATACAATCAATATAAGTCAAAGACTTGACTTTCACATCATGAAACATTCCATCCAGAGATAAAATTTATTTACTCCATCAATAAATAACACTTACATAAAACTGAAGAAAATCGGAAATACAATCAATAAGAAGGGATCAAATGTGCAAATAAATAACGAGTTCAGATATGATCATTAAAATGCCTACATAGAGTTCCAGAAACAGCACATTTTCATATTATGAAATTGAAAAAATTCCTTTTCACAATTCTAGAACAGGAAATGAGAACGTTCGCAAAAGAGATCAATAATTTAGTAGACAATATTCAGTTAAAGTATTTTTGAGAGCACCACTGGAATCTATTTGTGAGTTACCGTGTAATTCATCAAAATAATGTTGAGCACGACGAGAGGCAGGCATTTTGGTACGAGATGCTTTGTTCATAATGCATAAATATGGTATATAATCAAGTATCACATCTGTAAAATAACCTTCCAAAAGTAACAATGAGATTTGTAAATTTTCTGCAATTACCATTTGAGCGACAAAGTTAACTATAAGCACAGGTCCATTGTAAATATTCACAAAAAAAAATCCATAAAATTTAAGCAATTTAAGCTTAAATTAAATTGGAAAAAATTGGTAGAAATGAGTCAGTCAAATCAAGCCAAATAAATCAAAACTGAAAGAAAAGTACTCACCGGACAAAGGGAAATACTCAATTGCAGGTAGCACAGAACGAGTAACTTTCACTGCAACGTGCATGTCATTCTTCTCCACAGTGTGCAAATCCTCCTCCTCCCTAAAATTAAAACGCGTGTAGATTAAACAAGCAACTGATTATTATTCTTTGTTAAAGAAAAAAGAACGTAATGCAAACCGATCCATCGATGAAAGAACCGCTCCTGGTTCGTACGAATGATCGTAGCGTAATATGACATTGTACGAAATGCGATGGCACTTTTTGGGCAATGTTTCAAATTCTATTTGCTCTCCATTCTTTAATCGTTTCATCAACTGCAGAAGTTTGGAAATTTGATTAATAAAATAAAATCAGACACTTTATATCTTAAGAAAAGTTTCGCAATCTCTTGTCGTGAAGTGCAACTGTTCATTAGCGCTGGAATTGCTGGATACATTCTAGGTTTCAGGAAAGCATAGTCAATGACAGATGCTGATCAGGCGAGACTAAGCAATTTTAGATAATTATATTGCAATAAGAAGACTGTCAAATTAATAATTTGATGGTTGGTATTCCAAATAATCTTTCGAAAGATTTTAAACTTGTCCGTCCTATTAAGAAGACCCTACAATGAAAGCTTACTGTACATTATATTATACTTTCCACTCGATTATATTTTATAATTAATCTACCATTCTTAAAGAACTATTGCTGTCTTCACCAGCATAAAATTGAAGCTGATTGATACATGCCCGCAAATCACCGTTATATTGCTCAGCCAGAGCAGAGCAGACATCAGAACATATACTGAGATTTAAAGCAGCACAGAGTTCCTGAAAATATTCAAATAGTTAAGTTTGTCAATGGAAAATAAAAAAAAGAGTAAGGAATGATAATGAAAATTAATTAACCAAACAAAATAACACTAAGGACGAAAAAGGATAAACGAATTTTACCGATTCCAGACAAACACACCTGAAGATGCGAAGAAACGGTTTGCATCTCTGGTCTAATTAAAGGAAATATAAGAACGGGTACTTCAAGTCCTAACTGTTTGCGAACAAGAGAAATATCTGAAATTTGCGAACAACTATAACATAGGTGCATATTTTGGCTCCACATTCTAGCAATAAGATACAAGTGAGTTACAAGCACAAAAAAAAAGAAAAAATGAAAATTAACCTTCACAAATAATAATAACTGGAATACGAGCTTCCTTGCACAGAGCTCTTAATGCCGGCCAGAATCCGTCATCGTACTTGTCATAGATTACATCACACTAAAAAGAATCATTATCATTTTTATAGCAGAGCAATTACACCAAAAAATTTGACTTTAAAAATATGAAGGAAATTGAATAAAGATTACATCGTCTACCAAGATAATGGAGTCCTCAACCATCTTTTCTTCATCCTTTCCATTTTGAAAAAACATCTGGTTTACCATTCTGGTCATTGAAAACTGAAATAATTCATCATAATTCTTCCATAAAATACTCAACTTGCAGTGACAAATACTTCCTTAATATTTCGACAAATTATGAAACAAGAAAATAAGAAACAAATCTTTTCGATTAAGAAATAAGATCGATTCAATCGAACAGCCAACACCTTGTGAGAATGTGTAGCTCCTTGCAACTTACACTTCAGTTGTAAACCATTTCTTTTTTCATTAGAAGCAATTTCTAAGACATGCATTTCATAACGCTTCGAAACTGCATAAACCTGAAATAAATATCGACAACACACTTATTTCAGCATTCCATTCATCATTATTTTCAATCGATTAATAAGAAATGTTTTTCGAAATTAAAATCCCCTAAAGATTTACTAGTGATGTTTTGCCACTACCACAGTGACCATATATAATAGCAGTATTGCATAATTGCTCTGCTTCTTCATCGGAATCAAACGAATCGAAGGAATCCGAATCACGCTTCTTCCGTCGGCTGCCTACTTTTACTTCTGCAAACGTCAAACTAATAGAATTACATACAGCATCAAAAAATCTATACATTACGAGAAAAAGTACATCAGTTGGTATCAATTTTTAAGTGAACACGGAAAACATTACTTCTCTTACGATTCTTGCTTTTTTGCAATCGTTCCTTCCACATACTAATCCAGTTACACAGTTTATGAACAGTAGGACCGTCAATAATTAATTCATTAGTCTCCACTGGCCTCAATACCTCACTCCAAGTGTTCCACTGCAATTCTTCAGTAAGCGATTTCCACCTTCCGTTTTTCGGCCATTTCTTTCTTGCACTGCAAAATAAGTTATCGACAAGTAATCAGAGTTGTAAAAACAAAAAAAAGGACAAAAAAAACAAAAAAAAAGACTATAAAAGAGCTTGAAAGAACACAAAGAATGCAGAGATAAGAGCAACCTTCTGGATCTCAACAAAATGCGTGAATCAGCGACTGCAACCTTCTGTGATTCTTTGTCTTCACTACAGCTTTTTCTCCGGAATAACACTTGGAACGTATTGTTATTGTCTGAAACCGTCTTCGGAACCTGGTGCTGACGAATTTCACAAGGCAAATCATAGTTCACGGATGCAATCTCAGCATATCCAATGTTCGAAATGGTTGGAAAAGGCGCAAAATCCATTTCATCTATCAAAACTGCAATGTAGAACTTATACAGTACTATACACATCTTGCCTCTACTGACTCCCATGTTTTTCAACTTCTGGCAGAATAAACCAAAATAACTCCAAAACATCAGCAAATACTGCGCTGTTAAGTGCGTGGAACAGTAACAATAAAAAAGGAAACTACGTGTTCCAAAATTCGAACCTGTCTTTTTTTCACGCTTTAGGATGTTGCTCATTTCTCTATTGATAAGCTGGCCATTATAAATTGAAGAACTATTCACGGCTGTTTTATTGGTTGTCATTTGCCCAGTACTTCTACCATGAACTTTTTTCTTGTAGAAAGTCAGCGAATTCCCAGGTGTACCGTTCAATCCTTGTTCGTCAAGAAGTATTACGTCATTATCCATCTCACCAATATTTTGTTGAATTTCCTGATAAAACAACATTAAGATTACTTTTATGTTTTCTTTTTTTTTACTTTCATTACTAATCGAACAAAACTCCTTAAACTACAACCGATAAATCAAAACTGCCCGCGGAGAGACATCAACAAGAGGCTAATAAAATCCATAGTTTAGCTGATGCCTACCAGACATTAAATGGAAACTGAAAAAATTAAACTAACACTGCATATTGCTGAAGCAGAGCATCGGTATCGATCAGAATTTTCTATACACATGGAGTTCGGGTAGGGACTTTCCTAAAAAATAAATGAATATTCACATATCAAGATAAATGTGTGATAATGGAATTTATCAATTTCTCACAAAAACTTTCACCCTGCCCACAAGGTAAATATTTCCAGACATTTAATTATTAAGCAAATTCTAACTCAATGCAACGACGCTGACGCATGTAGTGCCACACAATGAAAACAACAGAGATAAATCTTGAAACAAGTAGTGATCAATCTCCTCCCAAGAATTTCTTCTAGAAACACCAAAAATTCGTGCACACATTTTATCAGGTATGTACTATATGAATTAATTCGTTGAAAAGTTACATCACATAAATTTCCTTTCACTTTTCCTACAATGATCGTCTGACGACGATTCGAAGCTGGCAATTCGCTAACCGCTTTCTGCAACAATAAAGACCTCCGACGATATTCATTTCCTTTCTCCTGTTTCTCTGAAAAGGAATAAGATAACAAAATGAAACACTGCAATTTAATTAGGAGAATGAACAAAACGGAATGACAAATGACTATCTGATATTACATTATCGGTATTAGATAAGTGAAGGAATTAAAGCGGTAAACATAATATTTATAAATCATAAAGCGTTTCATAAACCATCTAATTTATTTAATTTACCTACTTGGTAATTCTTCAAAGCTTGATCTACGCGATGACTGTTTTTCTGCCAATATATTATCGGGTTGCACAACACTATCGCCAGCGATCTCTTCCTGTTGATCCCACATGAGTGCACCTTCTTTATCAACTAGATGATCACACTGGTTCGGTAGACCTTGCAGCCATTTCTCAACCCTTAAATAATACTAGTGAATAAGTAGTGTAAAACATCCAAAAACTGTTTTGCACTTATTAAAAGATTTGAAAGTCGATCAACTCTCATTATGTTGTCATTACTCAAAAATGATCCTTAAAGATTTATTCAAAATGGAAATATATACTTTGCTTTTGGTCCTGCATGAGGGACAAATAATAAAGACGAGCGTAAATTTTGTAGACCAGAAGATGCTTTATTGCACTGTTGCACATCATTAGTTCGCTTATCGTTTGATAAATTTAAATTCATATTTTCTTTATTTTGATTTATGTCCTGCAAAAACGAATCTTTCCAATTTAAAAACTCCTGTACGTTTGCTGTATAGTCATATTAATGACAGATAATTACTGAATAACTCGGTAATCCTTCTTAATTGAAGTTAAAATAAATGTATACGCAATGTGCAGCTACCGATCAAACCGACAAAACATTTGATAAGGAAATATCTGTTCAGTTGTTTAAAACGCAGTTAGTTAATAAGGAATGAACCTCTTTCGTCCCTATTGAAAGGTTCCGCAACCGATCTCCGCGCACCCATGTGACTGTTGTTTCCTCCTTAAATGCTTTCAATCTGTATCATCGAATTGCAGAAATTCTTGGAAACTTAGGCACTAACTTTGAATATGTCATAAGCAGAAGCTGCATAATGTAATAAAGTTAAAACATTCCTTTATGATTCAATTTCATCATACAGAAACGAATCCAAATCTATTGGTTAACTACAGGTCCTAAGATCGAGCTAAAAGAAAAAAAATACTCGACAATGATTAAGTCCTCCCGAAAAAGTGCCATACTTAGAACATATTACCTGTCGTTTGGTTCTTTTCATTGCGGCATTTCCTCCCGATTGATTCGATACCTCAGAATGACCAACAGCTCTTTTCGCATTCATATAATTACCACCTTCCCTTTGTTCCGATTGTGACGCATGGTCATCTACGAAAAATATGCCACGTCATACAAAAAATAAGAGTGCCAGATGTATATCCGGAACAGAAATACTAAACACTGAATCACAGTAAACTCGTACAATTGGTAAGAATGTATTTACCATTAGCAATGAAGTCAACTGCGCCACCATTGCTTTCATCATTCTTCGTTTCCAAACATTCTTCAACAACTTTTTCCTCTTCTGAATGACGTTGAAAAGTTTCGGATATGGCAGGCAAAAACCTGACTGGCTCATTTCGGAAAGTGTTGGTGGTGGTGTCGTGCAAGATAATAGGCTGGGTAGTGAACAGGTCACGTTCCATACTATCGTTGGCACTCTGGAGAAAAAAAAGAAACATTATTCGAAGAAAAACATTTGTATTTCAAATGTAAAAACTTAGGACGCAATTTGAAGAACATACCGATTTAGCTTGATACCGTTAGAAAATTCCTTTTGCTTAACATGAAAACACTGTAACCACAGCTTTATAGTTGTATTTTACTTTGTTTTTAAAACAGAGTGATGTCCACTTCTTTCACAAACTCATATATTTTGAGAATGTAATGTTAAGAAAACGTTTAATACATAGTTTTCACCAAAAAAAAAATCTCACTGCGGAAACGGTAAATTCCTTTCCAGTCAGTGGTGAGTCTGGCATTTTCACAATTCCAGGTATCTTTCCAGAACGCGGAGTGATTTCATGGATATTCGGGATAGAATGGAAATGTACGCGTTTATGTTTATTCCATCCCTTTGCTTTCATTGTTATACGCTGAACTGCTTTCTGAGCAGCACTTGACAGGATAGGCTTCAATGATCCCGGTGGAGGTTCACAAATTACCTAGAAATGTATAAAAATCAAGAAACATATTAAACATGGTTGACAATCACCCGCATTGTTAGTTTTAATATACAAGAATGGTTAGTTGGATGATCAGTGACTTCTCGAAAAGTATTTACTCATCTTACAAATGATATTTTACAAAATAGGTGCTAGGAGAATCAAAACAAAATGATACGATTCCTGATGTCGAAATATTATGCATATGTTGAAGATCTACCTCAAACTTTCTTATTGCAGCCTTTGACCTCGTTCTGTAAACAGATTTCTGTAAGCGCATTGACGAACGTCGATTGTTTTTCAAAGTGTCTACTTCTTCCTCAAGCGTTTTCTCGTTGCTGCTATTAAGATAACCAAGATTTGATATACCGTCAGGAATAACACCATTCACTTCTGTCTAAAAATTAAGAATCAGGCTAAGTAATTTACAGTACTGACAAGAATTATAAAATTGATGAGAAAATATGAGGACCATTAGCTACATAATTTACATTTTTGAAGAACAAGGATGATCGTCGTCTCAGATGTTTCCGGCCAAATGCAGCTTTTTCCAATGAATCATTCATCTGTAAAAATAAACACTTGAAATGATTAACAAATAAATATATCTGACGTCTAATGTTTGTTATCGAATGTAACGTGAGAAACGCGTTAACCTTCATACCTATTTCAATACCAGCAACAAAATTAATTAGCAAAATGTTTACAAAGGTGCAATTCATCAGAAATAACTTGAAGGTCTTGGAAAAGAAAAAACGAAGTGCTAACGTTTTTATCGCTGGATGCAGTGGTACCATTAATAGATGCGATGGTACCGTTTTTATCAGTGGATATGATGGTACCATTAGAAAGATGAACTTGAGATTGCTCAGAAATAACCTCATCATCAGTTGCCATACCGCATTTGACTATGTTATTAAATTTAATTTCTGAAAGAACGAAATCCATTAATTTCTTAACAAGAAAAAAAAAGGATCAACTGAAATTTAAAACAATAAATTGATGATTACGGTAACACAACTGTAGAGATATAGAACTGTTTGACTGCCTTAATGATAGCTAAAACGATTAAAAAAAAAAATGATAAATGATAAACTGATATGAAAATACCAAATACCCACAACATCGATAAGCCCTCACAGTACCACTCCGCTATCTTTGCAATACCAGAAACCTGATAGTGACGGATCAGTGCCACTTCGCAACAACCTATCGGTGGCTGCTTCCGGAAGTCCCGCCTCTCAAATTTGGCGTGAGTGAATTTTGCTTGTTATAAAACATTACAACGTGTATCGTAAAGGAGATTAGAAAAATGTACATCAGATGAAATGTCACGTAGGCAATCTATAAATAACATTCTTAGATGTCAAAGGTCCATATTTCGCGGGGAAGAAATCCTTCGAAAATATCTCAAAAAAGTATTAAGAATTATTGTAATTTTAATAATTGAAAGATCAGAGGTCATCCGGAAACAGATCAAAAGTACATCACCATTCTTATCTGACTCGTTCATCTGATTTATTTAATGCATTTAAAATTAATCAATATTAATTGAATTGCATTCATTTCATTACCAGATTAATTAAATCAAATCATTCTATTAAGGAATCCTCCCTCTAATTATACTAACTCATCAATGATATACATTTTCAATCTCAATCATTTACAGTAACACTCTTTTACAGTAATATCAACAATAACATGAACAAACCTTCTGTAACACTACAATATGGATTTCATAATATGGATAGATGCTAATGATCGAATATCAGTAATGAATGTATTTTGGATTGCAAGGATTTTGCTTAATAATTGAAGCATTTGTTGCATGCATGATTGATGAATTAAATTTGCATGTTTTGAAAATATTTTAAAACAAATACGAAAATAAAAAATCAGAATTATTTTAAAAATTTGCAACCATTTGCAAAAAAAAAAAAACTTCCATACCTTTTCCTTTTTTTTTTTTTAAAAAAAACGAAAAAAAAGGGAATATTAAATTGATGCTAATAATTATAATACAAAAATAACAAAACAAAGAAAAACTGTAATACAAATTGCAAAAAAAACAAAAAAAAAAAGGAACTGAATCTTTCTTCCTCTTTCAATTACCGTAATTTCCTGTTTTATAATTTCATCAAAACGAACCACTTTTAATGATCGATAAAGAAAAAAAAAAGGGAAAAAATATTTCAACAAAAAAATCCGGTTTTATAATTTGGTATAAATTAATGGATGGATAAGTAATGATGGGAATAATATTTGTTGATAACAGTTTATCCTCTAATCGACATTAATCATTATAATCCATCCATTTCATCAAATGATTATTATTTAAGTAACAATTTAGCAAGTAAAAATTATTCAGTTTGCAAATAATTCCACTAACGATGCAACGCTGTCTAAATGTATTGCTAATATTTGCGACAATTTATGTGACAGTAACAAAATGCCTCCTTCCTTTTGACGGTATAATTTTTTATTTATTCATTTTTATAATTTAAAAAAAAAAAACAGCATTATATTTGAAGCATAAAAATAGTTGAATAGTCTTTCAAAATATTTAGCAATTCTGTGAAAGAAAATAAAACTATTTAAAAAGATTTTTTTCTTTTCAAATAAAGAAGTATTCTGACTTCTTTTTTTAACGCTATTTTCAAAAATTTACAACAATGATAATTTTGAAATTTATATTTTCAAATAGAAATCTTGCAATGAGATTGAAAAATAAAAATAAAATGAACGAAAAAGATAAGTGAAAAAGTGAAAGAAGTAATAGGATGAAATATAATTATTGAAAACGAATTTAGTAGGGATCGTAACAGTGTTACAAACTTGATAATCATATGAATATAAGGATTAAAAAAAAAAAAAATATTATGAGTTGAAAGGAGAAAGAGGTAAGTGATAATATGAATTAAATTGATTTAATATATTGGTTCAATAAATAATTCTAAAAATATACTATAAGGATAATAACAATTTTGACGAAAAAAAAAGTGACAAAATTAATAAATTAAAAGAAAGAAAAAAAACATTCTAAATTAAACAATAACAAATTTTTTAATAAATTATAAACTATGTATTTTATATAAAATAACCTCTGATTTATAGCTTTAATATATTGGATTATAATTGATAAATTATTATCAAATTTAAATTTAACGAATTATGCTGACAATAATAAATAAAACATTTAAAAAAAAAAATTGATTTATATGAAAATAATTTACAGATGGCTTTCATCACTATGATAAGCAACATTTGCGAGTTATGTTACAACTTCTACGAACTGTAAATTCTGATACGCAACAAGAACTAAGATTGATATTTAAGAATAGTACATTAACAAAGCAAGAACTTAATGAGACAATCCGAGAATGGGCCAAAAAACGAGCCATAATTTTTGAAGTAAGTTATGCCATTAACATTTATATATACCTTTATGCAAATTAAATCATCATCAGGTAATAATTATAGCCTTCATTATTTTTAGACAATCATAAGTTGATTCTTACTTTAGAATTGCTAAAATTTATAAAGACTGGAAAGTTTGATAATTGATAGTTATATTTTTTAATTTGTTAGTTATGAAATTTTAAGAGCAAATATTGCTGCTTAATTTATGTACATATTTCGTGATAAGAATTTCAGACTAAATTTTATAAAAGTTAAATTAGGTGTCATTTTACAATCAATGGAACAAAAAAAATTGCATCATCCAAATTCATCAAGCTAATCTATTAATTATTATCTCTACTTTACTCACTAAGGTTAATTTATTAGTTATTATTTCTACCTGATCATTACCATATTATACTCATGTTTATTTTTCATGTTTTAAATTCATTAAATGATTTCACGACATTTTTGTTTTACAATTTTTTTTATGAATAGAAGATTTTCGAAATAATAATAATCTGAAAATGGAAATATAGGAAATTTGGGGGAAAAAATTTCGAAATGCTTTTTAAACGATTTTGTTTATTATAAGGATTATTTAAAAAACTGTTAGATTTCTTTAAAAAATTTCATGAAATTTTTTTTGCAATTTTTTCGAAATTTCATGCTTATTTTTGTTTTTTGTTTTCTGTCTTTTTATTCTTTTTTTTTTTCAGGAAGCGATCATTTCAAATTTAAACGAACTTCAGCAGCAAATAATGGAAATGCAAAACAGCGCCAAAAATTTGGCAAATATTACCATGCAAGAACAAAATGATTTATTAGCAATATTAGAAATTAAAGCGAATATGTCATTAACAAATTCTGAAGAAATTTTTGCGATAAAAAAATTAATGGAATCACTCAATCGGACTGATCGTATTCGATTGAGGGCAATTTTACGCCAAAATTTTCTAAATCAAAAACGCATTCGTCGTTCGATTCAGCAATGGCTTAAATTATCTTCCGGTGAAGAAGAAGAATTCGATGAAAATTTGAATGAATGTGAACCATTCTTTTCATGCCAATTCAATTGTGGTTCAAGTAATGATTATAATTTCGACAAGAATTTTAACATTACAGTAGCAAATACAACTATAGAAACGACAAAAAATTTTACGGATACAGAAGATCTAATAATTCTGGTTTGTTTAATTAATTTAATTTAATTTAAAGAAAAAACAAACTTTAACAAAATGATAGAAAATTTTTCATTACCTTTTCGTTGCAACAATTTTCTCCATGTTATAATAAAATTAGATGATTAATGTTATGCTATTAAACAAAACAAAATAAGAATTATTTATTCTCTATTCCCGGTATGTCACGGGTTTACCAATTTCATAGGGTTGAAAATAAAAGAGTGAAACATTCCATTCCGTGATTTATCGATTTATTAATAAAACAATTCTATTTGCTATTCTCGTTGAGACTTCTAAATTGGAAAATTATTTTACTATGCTACAGTTTATACCTGATAAAATTGTATTTTGATATAATTAATTAAAGTATTAATTGAGCAGATGACGTTAGCCGTAAAATATTAGCTGGCTAATTGGAAGAAATTTTCGATAATTCAAATCAATCATAAGTTTTTAATTAAAACTTTCTAACATACCATGCATTGTATTTTAATATTCTGCATTAATTATTCGTCCTGAAATTGAATTTTGAAATTCTCATCATTCCTTCGAAATTTTGGATTTGACATTTGAACTTTGATCTATTTTACTTGCTTACTGTTAATTGTGAAACCAAAATACGAAAATGTTGCAGGGTGGTACGAATTGAACTATTTGAAACTAACAGTACGAAGCGGTGTTCGCAGTGCTAAGAAACAGATGATCTATTGATTGAAATAATGTTACAACTAATTAACTAATTAATTAACCAATTAGACGTGTGCTTTACAACAAGTCATTTGATATTTTTCAAAAACTTATTTCATGTTACCTAATAAAATTTAATCTTTGTCGTCCTAATATTTGTCACAGTTGGTATAAAGATAAATAATCTATTCATAAATGATAATTTAACAATTTGTACAGTAAAAACCACTCAACATCAGTTCCTATGAGCCAAACGATATTTGATTGAGTCTAGATTAGATTACTGTATCTATCATACGTCCTGAATCCAATCACATCAAATATTTAGTCAAGTATTGGTCATTTTCATTTTCATGATAAGATAAGCTGGATGCAGTATGAGGAGATCGATTTATCCTGGCTTTCACCGTCACCATGGATACAGGAACAATTATAAGCCTAGGCCAATCATATGAATACAAGTTAGGCCAGTACAATTATGAACAATAATGCAACAGCATTAGATGTTTCTGGTCTTGTTATACGACCAACAAATCAGGAGAAGTAAGTTCAAATTATAACTTCTGCTGGTATTTCATTTTATAGCATGGTTAATTTTTAAGAGTTAATTCTTCCTTACTTCCTTATTATCAGCGATTGCATAATCAGTCTCATGAAGAGACAATTTCATTTTGGAATCCGGAACTTTTAACTCCATTAATTTGGAACCTTTCATTTTATCTTCTTTAGAATTTTGCAATTTAACACGAGAATTGTGTCATCTAGTCCGTAACTATCAAAGTTATGACGTGTAATACGTAAGGTAAGATTCGATATTATCAACTTTTAGAGCATCAAATCTAAATTAATTGCTGATCGAGTGCAAAAATTGAAATAAGAAATCCTAAAATTGAAAAGAAAGGAGATGACGAAAACAGCTATCCTATCTTTTTCGCCCACGGAATACATTGTTAAATTATTACCAAGACGCGCATTTTTCCAGATTTCGTGCCACCGTTGGACGACGAATATTAGAAGAAGTACTAGCTGAAAGTTTAGGAGGACATACTTTTGAACCTAACAACGCCGAGCAACTCAGCAATTCACTATCAACACTAATTCGAAATCGTTTGAAAGGTATTCAGGAACGTTTCACCTTCTTTTCATTTCAAAAAAAGAAAGAGAGAATTAGCTGTTTTTCCTGTCCTCGAGAAAGAAATAAAACCTATTTTGTTAATTGGGGAGAAAAATAGTCACCTACAGGGAAACTTATTGCTAAATGGGAGGTTTGACAAGAGCAAAAACCAGTCTAATTTATACCACACCCATATTTCTTGATTTTTTTCTGAATAGCTGAATTATAATTAATCAAATAACTCCATTCCTTAAGCATAATTAAGGGGAAAAATCAAATGGACTAGAACCACGCGGAATTTATGACAAATGTATAATCTGAGATTAATCAACAAATTTTCCAGGACTTAATTTGCCGAAATATAAGTATATAATTCAAGTGATTTTGGGTGAGGAACGGGGACAAAGAGTTAGGTAAGAGATTTTGCAACCAGTTCCCTTCTACAAGGTGAAAAACTTGTTTATCTCATAAAAGCTTGACTGCTTATGTAATTAAACTATGAAGTAAGATCATTAGAGCCTAAAACCAACATGAAATCGTTAAGACCATACTTTTTGTGCGAAATATTATTCCATTTATGGTAAGAAATTCCTTCCGAATCCTGCATAGGAATTTTAAAAATTTGAGCAATCAAACAGTAGCTTCACAATTACACTAAAAATTCAAAATTATTCAGGGCGCATGCAGCATGCAGATGGGACAGCGATACCGACTCCATGGCACATTACGTCTATTCAAACGTCAGTTGCTTTGTAGGAGTAACTCGAGGATTAATTCCTTCCTCTTCTTTATATTACATGCCAGCAAAATGATTGCAACAAGATACAATTCAGTTTTTCACAAAAATTTCAGGATCATCTATTTTGTGAAGCAACAATATTCGCTATATTCCATTACTGATATTAAATTTATGAATACATAAAAGAGTTAATTTTAGAAGCACAATACCATCAGGAAAAATCAAAAGCAACTTGCCATATCATCCCTAATCAGTAATGTGACTGCTCTGGAAGATTTTTGAAGTTTAAAAACCATTTATGCAATCAAACTGTGTAAAAGGAAGGTGAAACAGAATAATCACAACATAGTCAATCAGACTTCTGCTTTGCGCACATGTCGTCCACGGCGTCCACGGCGTGAGTCTACTGGTTTCAATGACCGAAGTAGCTGTGAAGCACGTTTCTGAGCTAGCTGAAAACAAAAATAATCATAAAACAAAGATACGAAAAAGCAAGTAGAATATAATAATAACAATAGAATATGTAATCGTGACTATTAATTCCATTTTTTTCTCAACTTCTCTATAAGCTCAACCCTTTATCAGGTTTAGTTAAACGCAACTGAGTACTTTACGCTTAGAGGTAAGTAAGAACATGTATCACATAATACTATGTTACTGTAGAATGTAATATGTATCACGTAATACTACTACAGAATGTAAGCCACAGCAAAATAAAAAGTGGATTAACATCCTTAAACTGTGTCATCTTCATCAAGCACAGTAGTGAAGTCCGTCTCACCGAAATTGTATTTTCGAAAAAATGAAAAAAAAAAACCCAAGTAGACATTGCAAACGCATACCCCTCTATGAGCAATTCGATAACTCCGGGCAATATTCCTCACACTCTTTAACGATTTACGACTGTTCTTCTTCAATGTAATCGATACGCTCGACTTAGTAGGAAAAGAATTCTTAGCTGCAAAATTCATTTTTAAAGCAAAAGGATGCATGACCACTTTAAGTTATGGATGGCAAACAGTGAAAAAAATTAATATCGCACTTGAGAACGCAATCCACATTCTTCTTCGTTAATTAAGCAGTTCTGCGAAACTAGGTCACACGAAAGCGGAATTTTTGGATGTTATCAGAACATAAGCTTTAATTAAGATAAGATGAAAAATGACGAAATATCAAGTAAATCCCGTATGTGCTGATCAGTTGTATAGTCCTGCTGTCGAAAACGCAAATGACGAAAAAGATTTTAAAGGCAACATCCACCACATTCGCTCTCCGATTTCCACCCCGTCCCTATCTTTGTTCTTCTTGTCCTTTACTTTATATACAAAATGGTTTGTAGAAATTTCATTATTGAGACGATAACCCCTTTCTTCATTTCAGAAGACATTACATCATTAAAAATTAAACATTTCTTCATGCATATTCAACGCGAATGGATCCTTTCATACAGTTTTTAATTATTTTTTGATTAACAACCTAATCGTAGATTCGGACAAGAAACAGTTATGTCGTTAATCCCGTTGCGCATAAGTGTTTCGAACCATTGAGATAAGAAAAACAAAAAACCCCTTGGAGTGTGCTCATTGGCTGAATAATACATATACCATACAAAGTTAATGCAGCTTACACGAAAGTTGCAAGGCAACCAAAATATGAAAGAATGAAATGACTTACTTCGCTTCTTCATTGTCACTACAATACCTTTACCATCAGGTGCTGCCTGAATGTCCAAACCCTTCTTGTGAACCAATCCATTGAAACGGATACTATTAACACCCTTTATATTGAAACGTTCCCTACTAAAATGTTTCGGGATTCCACGTTGTCGACGTAGGAATGAGGACGTCTTTCGAATAACTTGCCACTGAATATCTGCTGATACCATCACTGCTGAAATCTGTCTATTCACTAAAAATTTACGCATTTAAATTAAAGTTTATGGAGAAATATCGCAGATAAATCAAGTCATTTAACACCTTAGCTTCACGCAATGCTTACACGTGAAGAACCACGTGAAGTCCCTCGATCCCAAAACCCCACCACCCGAGGGGACCCGCCCCACCACTTTGCCCCAATGCTCCTCCCCTCCCTACTCCGGACGGTCTGAAACTGCTTAGTAATTTGGGATGAATGGAGAAACAAATATAACGTACCGCAGATGGTCCGTCAAAAATAAGCATATCGAAATGCAAATCGGTAAACTTGCATAGGGATCGAAATGTTAGCTTTCGAAAATGTGCTCTGTTTGGGTTCCGGAATCGATTACTTTGATGTAACTAATGTCGGCCATGGAAATGAGTAAATTTTGGCTGTATGCAGTCGATTTTAATTAGTTTACGTAACAGCGTAACAGGTGATAATATATTTCAGGTATAACATATCCGCAAGCATGCCCACGCCAAATGCCGGAAGACGACGTGTACCACCAGATCGGCCAACGAGTAGTAGTTGGGTTCGAGATAACTTTATCGTTGGTGGTGTGCTTGGTTCAGGTATAAATTAATTGTTTTCTTGCCCGTTTGTTCCCAAAAATAAGTTCATTTAACGGATTATCAATTGTCATCCATTCTCCAAATGGAAAAATGAATCTGTATTATCTAGGCTACTACTTATGTAATAATTCATGAATCAGAAGATTATGGGCTGATCCGCATTTCTCACTGCTTTTATCTTCTCACTTTCTCGCCGTAACTGAATTACTTTGCCTTACCTTTTTTATTTAATTGCCTTGTCACCTTAAGTACTCTGCCTTATTTATCTTACCTTATCTCGTTTCTTAATCGCTCTGTAAATTTAACTATTATTTTTGCCAAATTACCTCATATTCTATTTAATTTATCATGACGTTTTACATTGCCACTTAATTATCTTATCACTTAATCATCTTTTTAAAAATTTGGTCTTTTTTCTTTCGGCAACACTTACGTCAGTATATATAGAATCAGGACGGAAATACATTATTGGTTGAGCAGTTGTATGTCTGTTCCATAACTGTTACAATTTCACCTGCATGTGTTTATCTGTCTCGTTATAATCTAAAATAAGATGATTACGGTCAATTATTGGGTAGTAAGAGAAGACTGATTAGTTGATAACAATTGAATTACTTTTAGTAGATCATAAGCTCCCTTGTTGTACATGGTAGTTTTGAAGAAATATTAGTTATACACATATCGATGAATAAAATTGTATGTATTTCATAACGACAAATTATCAGCATTCTTTTTCCTTTAAGGTACATTTGGTAATGTATATCAGATAAAATGTCGTCGTGAGCCTGGTACATCATATGCAATGAAAGAATTGGCAAGGAACAATTTACCAAAATTTATTGCTACGGAGTTACGCATTTTGCAACGTTTTGGTGGTGTTCACAACATTATGAGGATTCATGCAGCTCATCGAGAACGTGATCGAGTTTTCATTGTTATGGATTACTTCGAGCATACTCCTACTAAGGTGTCAATGGCTAACCGCTTCGCTGGAAAGAAATAATAGTGCATTGAAATATAAAATTCCTAATTTGAAATATGTTTCAAATTTTAATGTGGAAGTTATTGCGTAAGGTGTAAGAGATGTAAGAGTTGAGGGTAATGCTGTACAAATCAGTTTTAATCTTTGTAATCGCAATGTTATCCGTAACTGTAGCGAGTATGATAATTTAATGATGATTATGTGTAACTCTTATTTCATTCTAACTGTTTTCTCCTTTTTATAGGAAATCATGGCTTCTGTCACAGTGCCAGAAATTCTGGATTATATGAAGAATTTATTGGATGCATTGAGGTATTTGCATGGGAAAGGTATCATTCATCGGGATGTTAAGCCGTCTAATTTCCTTTACAACCGATCAAAACATAAGTAAGTTTCAGATTTTAAAAATGTGTAAAAATTTAAGAGATTAAAACCTGTATCGTTTCATATCCAACTACTTGTTTAAGGTATTGTTTGATAGATTTCGGTCTCTGTGAAGAAATATCCGTTGGCCAGTCACCGCGTAAACATGTAAGAAGTTACCATGGCGTAAGTAGAAAATTTGACTTGACTTTTACTACATTTTTATTTCCCAAAATTTCCAACGTTATCTATCTACAGTTACAGTCAAGACTAACATAATTGGATGAATTTATTTAAACGATTTGATGATCAGCGCTTATAAGTCCCATCCAAAAATTCAAATATGATCGTAGTACAGGTGCGAATAACGGGGTGCTACTCTTCGCAGGCACGATTTTTAATGTGTTGTTATATTTCTTTTAGATCGGAGAACGAAATGCCTTGAAAAATCTTAAAGTTTCGGGCCAAAATCATAAGATTTGCGAGAAGAATGAAGTAAGAAAAGGGGTTAAACGGAAGGAATGTGACTGTCACGGTTTGCCACGTGTGTGTGACATATGCACCAAGCGGCCTCGGCTTCATGTTAACAAAGTTGGTGTTAATACGGTTCTTGGAATATAAATTTAAAGTATCAGTAGTTGATTTGAGAATTTCAAAAAGCACAGAATGGGTATGTTGTAATTAGAAGCCATGCCTGAGGTGATGTTTTTTGATGGTTATTAATTTATTTGGTACGCTTTATCTTAAATAATGATGTTGACAGGCAACATAAAATACTTTCAGGCTGGAACACCGGGTTTTCGAGCCCCGGAAGTGCTGCTTAAGTACCGACACCAAACTTTTCTGGTTGACATCTGGTCGGCTGGTATTACATTCTTATCCTTGCTTTGCCGTAAGCATCCAGTAATGCGACCAAATGATGACTATGAAGCACTTGGGCAAATGGCTATTATTTTTGGTTCAGAACCAATTGAACAACTTGCACGGAAAAACAATTCAATCTTGTTAGCTAGCTGGGATTTTCCTGGTCTTGATATGGTCAAATTTGTGAATGCCGTACGAAATGGTTCGTGTCTTACGATATGATTGATGTTTGACGTAGAGAATCATGCCTAAAGATATGCAAAATTCTTTTGTTTATTTGAATTAACCGAAGTATACTCACGTACTTACCACTATCACATTCTGAAATGTTCTTCATATATGAAGCTGTGACTGACAGGTCAAACATGGATAATCAACCATGAAAAGAATCTAGGAAGAAATAGAATTTTCAATCATCTATTATATTTTCCAGAAGAAATACCTCAGCAAGGCAAATACTGTGATACCTGTAGAAACCTATTTTTCGGCAATTATAGTGCGAAATGCATGTGTCATATATCCGAAGAACATTCGCTTAGGCAACTTGCTCCCGGTAATTCTCATTTTGAATTACACATTTTAACTTTACAGTTGGTCTTGGTTCCCGGTATGTGGTGCTTACTCAGTTGTGGGTGTTGAATTTCTCCATAGAACCTAACAGGAGCAACACTGTGTAGTATTATCTGTAGCCGTTTTATTTGGGTCAGGTAGTAATTTAATCTTAATTTTCATTTTGGCATATGATACTCCAATGTATCCATTCGTTCATTTTGGTCAAGACCCTTTTTTGGGGAGGTGAAAGTATTATTTGCTGCGAATTGAATTATTTGAGATAAAAGTTAGTTGGGATTAAAGTAGTAAGGGCAAAACTCGGAGTCTTTATGAATCTTTGTTTTATTTTATTATCTTGTAAGCAAATTTCAGATGAACGTCAGGTATTTGAAATATTGAAAAGGTGTCTTATCGTTGATCCAGAAATGCGATACACTGCTGAAATGCTTTCAGCATCATTTTCTTAGTGAGAGGAGCTCATGTTATTTTAATATAATTTTTTGAATTTCATCCTTATTTTTTTCGAATGATTAAATCATTGAAGGAGTTAGACGTGGTGTAATCGGCAATACTCTTGTTTCTTCATCATCCCGTATAAATTATAAACATTAAACTAGAACATTCTACCAATTAATAGTTGTTTTCACTTGAATTACATCTGTAAGAATTAAAGTGAGATTGGTTAGCGTTCTTTGGGGCTACTTGAGATGCTTGTTTTTTTTTTGTTTTTTGACTTTTTTTTTGAATCGGTTCGTCACTTTGTAGATCTAAAATAGGATACTGTTAATAATTCTATGTCTCAATCCTTTCGATTCGCTACGACTTATGCTGTTGGTTTTTCTAACTTTACTATGACCTGATCACTAATAGTTCTGGTGTTGTTCTCTAAATCTGACCCTCGAAGATGTATCGAAAATTCATTCAGGTTGGTTTTTAGATTTCTCTCCGTTATTGGGATGTTAATCTTAAAATATCAACTTGTAGAAAGGCTCAGTTTTTTCTCCCTTCGTTCTGGACCTTATCCTAGTCCCTGAAATTCATACAAAATGATGTTGATTACTTTGTTGAACCATTTTCTGTCTACATTGCTCATCGTATTTTCTCTTCTAAGATTAGGGAATAATTTTTCTGTTGTCCGATTCGTTTTTTTTGAACGCTATTCGTGTGTGTAGGACGAGAATTTTCATTTTAATGTCCTTTTTTTTTCTTTTTTCCAGCTGACCAGAATTTTTCTGCAATTGCTTATGAAGATATGAATTATGGACAAGTTTTATTTATGCATTAATTTTATAACTACTTTATTTTGTTGCCTTCTTGCAAAAAATGTTTTTTTTTTTCAAATCACATCAATGAAACTGCACTAGTTGGAACAGTTGATAACATTGATGTTGATTTGATACCATTAAATGATTTTGACGATTCCATTCCAACTGACCTTACATGACCTGTTTGTTCAGTAATGAGATCTTTAAAACGTTTTGCTAAATTTTTCATCTGTAGCGTTTTCAGCCGTTGCTGTTCACTTTTCATGTACCATAAGCGACCGTCTAATGTGATACTTTCGACGTCCGCACTGAAAAAATACAAATTAACACTTATTGTTCACAGTCTTATCCGCTGACAATGACATAATCCTCTAATCATTAAGAGTTTTACTTATAATGTTATCATTTTTCCGCACCGATGTAACAGCTTATGAAATCGCAAATTTACTGCTATGGTATTGGAACCATTGAGTTATTCTATTCACTGGTTAGATTATGGGTGATTCAGAAACCCAAGCTTGCTTAAAACTTATAAGAGTTCAGGGAAGGGAGGAGATGGCAGTAAGCACAGTGCAGTTCCTGGATTTTAAAATATTTCTTAACCTTATGCTTTGCTTTTGCCTTCACGCTAACCAAATATCTATTTAAGCTATGTTACTCCTAAAAATAATGACAAATAAATTTGAAATAATTCAATTACGTTTTAGCTATAGCTCTTTGAACTCTTTGTGCGAAGTCTTGATTACTTTCACCGGGTCGTTTTTGATGTGGCTCCAAATAAGTAACATCATAAACTATTGCCCATGATGTAAGTATACGTAATAAGTATCGTGAAAAGTTTGACTCTGACCAAAATGAATCTCCAAAACGTGCATTCTGCCTGAAAAATGTTTGGTAAAATTTTATGAAGAGAAAGATTCACTTTTAAGGCCAATAAATTTCAAATATTTAAAGGACGTGGAAATTCGTCTTGATATTATTACCTTATTGCTATAGGATAAATAATCACGCTATCTTCGAAAACAGCCTTTCGAAATTGTAGTACACGTGTGTTATTTGTACAATAGCCTTCGGGAAATAATAGTACTGGACCATTAGCCTAAAATTTGCGTAAAATGAGAAATAATATTTAAAGTTGAAATTTTAATAGATAAGATTAAGGTTTTTTGCATTGAACATTGAAGTAATTAGACTAAACTTGAATCAATCAAACCTTTGCTTCCCGAAGTACCTTATCCATGAAGCGTTTACGATCTGTGGTACTATGTCGTTCGAGCCATAATGTTGGGACAAATTTTTCGGCAATACTTTCAATGAAAAAAACAAGACCAGTTTGACGTTGACCGGTTACTGTAAAGCCATAACCATCACTTGGATCAATATCAGCATAAATTGCCTGCACATCATTTGGTGATAAATGATTTGCCACTGCAATACCTACAAAGAAAACTTTGTAGGAATTATGATGATCATGTACTTACGTGTCGAAATGTATATGGTACTACAGTAATATTGCAATCTTTTTTTTATCCTTTGATATTGTGATAATAGGTTGCAATCAAATACCTTAATACTATTATAATGTAGAAGTTCACGTCAGAAGTAAGCATGCATAGTTATAGTATTCGTTGTATCAGTAATATTAAGGAATGGACAACTTAATTACTAGATCTAGAAATTAAGTTAATTAATATGATTCAACCTTAAAATATTAAATAAAAAGAAAAAAAAGAGAGGGAAAACAATGGTACGCACCGGGTTGTTTAGGCCTATATTGACGATTATGATACTTGGCTACAAGACCAATTGCGGCACAAAATAATCGACAATTCGTGACACCAACACGTATTTTCTGTTCATCAGTCATGTCCATCAAATGGTCAGCAAGAATAGCACTTGTTGAGAAAAGAAGTGAAATAAGTATTAAACATAATCGTATTGGTAACAGAACACCATAACGAAATATTAATGCGACAAAGTAACCAAAAATGTGTCGTCGTGAAATACGAAATTCAGCATCCGGAAATGGTAACCGGTCAGGACGTTCCAATAATGTACTATAGAATGGTGGAGCTGAATCGAATGCAACGCTCAATTGATCCTGTCAATTATAAAATTAAATACTTGAAGAAAAAAATAGCAATTAAAAATTTGCCTTAAATAATTATTAAGGATTAATTAGAATCGAAACTTTTTCTGGCGCATTGTATTCAAATATAAAATTTTTAGCTAATATTTTTATATTTCATTAATTTTTTTAAACTAATTTTTTAATTCTAAAAATCGTATAATAATTTGATATGATATTTAATAATTTTATGTAATGAAATATTACTTACATATTAATTAATGTTATTTTAAGATTGAACTTTATTTATCGAATAAATATTGTAAAATTTGAATCTATTTACGTTAAGTTTTTTTTTTTTTGATTTAATTTATTTACACTAGTGACAATTAATTAATATTATTACCTTTTAAATATTATATCCCAAAATTTGATTCCTTTTATTAAATAAATACTTATCTTAAAATTCGAATTGATTTATGTATAAATTAATTTCGTTAATTTTTCCGATATTATATTTCATAATTTAATTCCATCTGTTAGTCGTTTCTTTTTCTTTTCTTTAGCAATGAATTCAAATGCATAATACAATAAATGAATTGAAATGAAAAACTTTTAAGTTTTAATCACTCCAAACAATAACGCTTCAACCATTAGCATAAGGAATCATGTGAAGTATAAATGGGCGCAAATGAACCTGAATAATTGCTTCAAAGCCAGCCTTGAATGCATCCGAGCAAACATCAAATGCATTTACCATTGGGATTTCACTATAATATGAAACATTTGTTAAGAAACAAAAAGCAAAAAGCGCAAAAAAAAAAGAGAGAAATGTTTGATATAAATTAAAAGGAATATTAAAATTGATGTTAACCTCATTTCAAAAAAAAAAAACCTCAAAATTGAAAAGTTCAACTTTCTATTGATTTCCAATTTAACTTACTTGAAATTAGTTCAATTGTTTTTTTTTTTAAAAAAAGGAATAAACTGAAGATTTTAATTTAATTTTCTTTCTTTTCTTTAAATGATTACCTGAAATGAAATGATGATAATGAATCATCACGATGTTTTCGAAGTAATGATGTATCACATCGTTTGATAATTGCTGGCCATAATGTAACAGTAGTTTGCGGATAATTATGCGGATAAAAATTTTGCACAAATTTTACTAACTTAACATATAAATGCGGTAATGGTCCCCAACCATATCCACAAATTATCAGTAATACTGTTGTTAACACTAAACCCAATAACCATCCAATATATATTGATAAAAGCGCATTCAGCATACCTTTCTCGTGAATTTTTTTGTAATAAAATGATATAATACACACTAAAAATTTAAATATATTATTATAACAACATTTTTTCTAATTATAACCATCAAATTATTTCACAACCGATTATTGTATCCGGCAGAATTCCCGTTATTATAACAGCATCCAACAGGCTTCCTTCCCTATTATCATTGCATCCAGAAAGCTTTTCATCTATCATGACTACATTTTGACAAGCATCTTCCTATCATAACAACATCTAACAAACTTATCCTATCATCACTGGATCCTCCAGAAAGCCTTCAACCTATCATAATTACATTCCAACAAGCATCCTCCTCCTATCATAACTGCATCCGACAAGCTTTCCTATCACTATTGCATCAGGCAAATGACCTTCCAACAAGCATCTTCTTATCATAACTGCATCCGACAAGCTTTCCTATTACTATTGCATCAGGCAAATGACCTTCCTCCGACAAGCGTCATCCTATCATAACTGCATCCGACAAGCTTTCCTATCACTATTGCATCAGGCAAATGACCTTCCAACAAGCGTCTTCTTATCACAATTACATCAGACAAACTTTCCCTATCATAATTGCATCGAGCATTTCATCATATCTTAATTGAATCGATAAAATCTCATTTCACACTTAATCTTTTTAATAAACTTAATTACTATTGCTTAATTACTATTGCTTTTCAAAATATCCACCATATTTCTTCTTCTTTCTCAACAATTACCATTTAATCATTGGATTATGTTAGAATAGAATGAAAATGGAAAATAATTTCTAGAATTTAAAAATTTTGATAATTAAATTTGAAACAATTAAAAAGAAAAAAAAACTTTGTAATTATTATTCGATAATAAAAAATGAATAAAAAATATTAATGACATTTTTTTTAAATTTAAATAATATATTTTTTCGTCTCTTCGTTTAAGCCAATTTGCAACATTTGAATCGATCGACTGATGGAAACAAAATTTAAAAAAAAAGTTTTTGTGGAAAACAGCTTGTTTGTCAAATGTGTGCACACCCAAACAATGATTCTTTCTCTTTCTCTCTCTCTCTCTCTGTTATCAGTAACAATCAATGATAATAATGACAAAAATGTATTATTAACATTTTTTATTATAATTATTTTCTAATATATTAAATGAAGATTATAAAATTTTAATAGATTTTTGGAAAAAAAAGAATAAAATAAATAAACTTAAAAATTGATAATGAAATGGAAAAAGAAAAAAAAAGATCTCTTATCTATAAGCTAATGATTCTTTGAGGTATAGTTGATAGGTTTAGTGATATTGTTATCTACTTAGTGATAAACTGAGTTATCCTATGACACAAACATACACACAAATACACATACATACAGAGACACACATACATGCACACAGACACATGCATACCTACATATATACGTACATACACATACACACATACAAAGATACATATACATACACACACACACACACACACACACATAACTATACATATATATATATATATATATATATATATATATATATATATATATA